TACCAAGTTATATACTTGATGATGCCACCCACTGGGAACAAAAATAACATCACCGGGTTCTTGAATGCACTCACGCCAGGTGGTCTGAAGGAAAACCATATAACGCGCATAAAACACATGTTGAAAGATTATCTTACAAATTGATAGAAGGAAGAGATGATTTACCTCCTTAAAACCAGGGAATTTAGTTTCATTCACCTCTTCAAAGATGTTGTAAACACAATTATTCATGTACCTGAAAAAAGCATCTATGTGTAAGGCTAAGGAGCGTGAAGAAGTGTGGACTAGAGACGAGTAACAGAAAAACCACTTTTTAACCACAGTCAGAGAAACCACTTGCCTGTCATAAACAAGATGACTTTGTGAAGGAGGAAGAAAAAGCCATCTTTTTTTACCACAAACGTTAGCTGACCAACTATACGATCTAAATACATCAGCGTGTAGAGGCGTCCAAGATCCTGCAGCCAAGAGAACAGAAATTATCAGGCCAGGACACTCAAACAGACAACACACAATAATAGTTTTCTTGTTCTTACTCAGACCTTTTCCACCCATATAAACAAAGCGGTAATCAGAGCAGCTTATTGGATCGTACTTTTGGAAATTTTCTCTATCCTCATGCATTTGGTAATTGTCTAGATAGGTATTAAGCCAATCATCCGAAAAAAGCGGTGGTGTTTTGTAAGCTGTATAGTCTGGATACTCCTGGATTTTAACAAGAATCAGCACATAAAATAAAACTCTCAAATCGGTATGTATATAGATAGCATTATTAGTTCTCGATTTGCTTCACTTAACGAAGAAAGTAACAAGCATGTGAATTAACCTCATATATGCACCTTGACAAAATGCCAGTCTTTCAGATACAAAACAGACTTTCCATTATCAATATTTTTCCCATTGTCCTCAATAGAATCTTCGGTCCATTGCTCGACAAATTCGGTAACAGACATTTCTAAGCTTTTCTGATCTGTATATTCTCTTGTATCACAATCTGCAACCTGTAAATAACCAACACCAACATCAATGAACAAACAGATTACTCGAGTGCTCATCAATTATACATTTAATTCCCAGAAACCTAGCCAGATAAATTAGCAACCAGTAAAAACTAATTTTGATTATTTCCTCTACAATTCCGATCTGGAAGCTAAGCAAAGCTACAATATTCTCATGAAAGCAACACAGAGACACAAACACTGAAGACCATTTCCCGCAATTAGACAAGGTTCAAACTTCAAAACCATATATTTACCTGAACTCTGGATTTTCCGAAGTGGGTGGCAAAGAAGTGGAGATTAGGGAGTCCATTCTCACTGACCCAATCTTCACGAGCTCGCCAATCGTCAGTGAGATCGGAGATTACAACCGGCTGGTTCTTCGCCAAGTATCTCTCTGCAAAATCACCGTAACTCAACTCTTTACCATTGATTTTCTCGATTTGACCTACAATCTCAATTCCCATTTTCCTACGCCCAGGATTTTAGAGAATATCCTTTTAGTGAAAATGAAAATCTCCGATCAAATCGCCGGTGAAGTTAATGCAAATAGGGTTCAGGCCAATGAACGACGACGACATGTGAAGAAGACGAGAAAGCCTTCCTAAGTGAAACGCTGCGTTTTGAGGTTAAAAAAACGAATCCGTAATTTGTATCAGCCCATTAATAGGCCCACTAGTTGCTTAACTGTAAATAAAACGGTGCGTTTTAAGACGCCGAACATGAGAAATGTCGTCGTTTCGTAAATGCTCTATGAAGCTCAAATGGCGGGCAAAAAAAAGTTTCCATTGATTCAACTCAAAGCTTCTCTCTTTCTATAATCTCGTCGTGATGGAACGAATGAGCAGAAACCCAGAAGATATGGTGAAGAAGACAATGTCGTCTCTGAAACTGATGTGTGAGAATGATATGATTGAACAACGACAGAAAATCGATTCCTTTATGGCTATGCATTTCCAGAGATCGAGAGATTCTCCGTTGGAACGAGCTCAAGCCACTTCTCGAAGCCAAGGTGAGGTCAAAAATCTCGAATTGATGTTCAATTTCAGAAAAACTTTTTGGTAAAGTAGTTTTTATGTTCTGTGTAATTTAGCGAATTAGGGTTTTTCCTGTACTGAGGAATTGAGCGATTACAATAAGTAAAGTTGTGA